ATACACATTTTGACATGCACCCAAGAACAAAAATGTTCAACATACCAAGTTACTACGTACTGCTAGATTCTAGCTGCATAGTTGAAATAGTAATGACGCTGCGATTTTTGAAAATACATTTTAGTACAAAATAAACAACAGAAGTAAACATCTAGATATCCGTAACTAATAAAGATATCGCAATATAACCTATGAGCATTAATATTTGAGGTATATTATGTATATCTGCACATTTACAGCGTTCTGCAGTTCATACATTCAGAGTAATGGATTGCGAAAATGCCTACCCCACAAAATCTGCAAATCTCGATAAACCTCTTCAATCCAATATGGCCGCCGCATCACGTGACTTTTTTTGACATAGGACCAAGAACAGAAAATGTTTAACAACCAAGGGCCACTTCAGAACAAGCGTCTAAACTGTTGTATGTGCTAAGTTTGGTTTGGCACAAAATGGCAAAGAAGCCCGTGAAAGTTTTTGAAGACAACTTTTGCCCAAAAGTAGCGTCCAATATGGCGGCCATCACATAAAGATAGGCACATTTGACGATGCTACTGTGTAGAAACATGCATAGACACAAAGTATGCAAAGTTTGAAAGCAGTAGCCCTTTGTAGTTTTAATGCAGCACATTTTGGGAGGTATGCAGTCAGGATTTTGCTGAAAAACATCACCAAAAACTTCAATCCCAAATAGCGTCCAAACGGTGCATTTTAGCGACTTGAGCCGTCCAGGCGAAATTGTAGGCATTTTGATTGCGCATCTGCTCAAGAACTTTGGTAAACATTGGAGCATTAGTTTTGGAGATTTTGCATTTGCATTTGAAATTTTGAATTAATTTTGAATTATCTGCCCTTTGCTATTGGGCCTACAGCCTAGGGATTTTAAAGCGCGATATGTACCCCTCGGTGGGCATCTGGGTGAATTTTTTCAAGGCATTCTGTCCAGCGGTGCTCTCTGTAGGTCTGGTACAAAATACGGCGGATGAATAAATAATAATAATAATAAAACATTAACGATTACAATAGGTCTCCTGCCTAAAGGCAAAGGAGCCCTAATTAAAAAATCGTTATTTTGAGTTTTTCGGGGTTTTGACCCCGGAACTTGATAGTATGTCGAAAATGCTTTGTAATGGTCAAGGTCACCAAGGTCACGGGGGTCAAGGTCATTTGACCGGTCCGTCACAAGACAAAAACAAGTTTTTTGGCGAGCTAAGACGCCGTTGTTATTACCTCTAGGGTGAAAGGAATTAGTGTTTCTGCTTTGCCCAGACCCGATGTATCATATGCGCAGGTCAGATTTGGTGACAAATATGTCCGCCGTCTGTCCGCAAGTCTGTCCGCCAAATTACTGTATAGCCATTTTCTCCGGAACTATTAAACATACAGAGTTGAGATTTTGCAGACAGCATCCCATTCATTGTGTCTAATGATGCCGTAAAAATCAAGTCATTTGAATTTCAACTTCTGTTCCCATGGCAACCTGAAAATGAAAAACTTCAATCCAAGATGGCGGCCAAACGGCTAGAGGTATCGATCTGGGACTACCAGGCAAAATGATCGGCATCTCATGACCAACTCACATACCAAATATGGATGCGATTGGGACAATAGTGGTGGAGTTATATGCTGTTTTATGCCGTTTTAGACACATAATGCATTTGTGCAATTTTCAATGCCATATGGCCGACAAACAATCAAATTTTTGATATGCATGTAAGAACACGAAATGTTAAGCATCGTATGTTGATGCATACTGCCAAGTTTTACTGCCTTCTGTGCAGAATCTGACCAGCTATGCTGTTTATAATGTAGTATCATCAGAATCTGACGAAATCCAATATGGCCGCCAAGCAATACACATTTTGACATGCACCCAAGAACAAAATGTTCAACATACCAAGTTACTACGTACTGCTAGATTCTAGCTGCATAGTTGAAATAGTAATGACGCTGCGATTTTTGAAAATACATTTTAGTACAAAATAAACAACAGAAGTAAACATCTAGATATCCGTAACTAATAAAGATATCGCAATATAACCTATGAGCATTAATATTTGAGGTATATTATGTATATCTGCACATTTACAGCGTTCTGCAGTTCATACATTCAGAGTAATGGATTGCGAAAATGCCTACCCCACAAAATCTGCAAATCTCGATAAACCTCTTCAATCCAATATGGCCGCCGCATCTGCGTGACTTTTGACATAGGACCAAGAACAGAAAATGTTTCAACAACCAAGGGCCACTTCAGAACAAGCGTCTAAACTGTTGTATGTGCTAAGTTTGGTTTGGCACAAAATGGCAAAGAAGCCCGTGAAAGTTTTTGAAGACAACTTTTGCCCAAAAGTAGCGTCCAATATGGCGGCCATCACATAAAGATAGGCACATTTGACGATGCTACTGTGTAGAAACATGCATAGACACAAAGTATGCAAAGTTTGAAAGCAGTAGCCCTTGTAGTTTTAATGCAGCACATTTTGGGAGGTATGCAGTCAGGATTTTGCTGAAAAACATCTCCAAAACTTCAATCCCAAATAGCGTCCAAACGGTGCATTTTAGCGACTTGAGCCGTCCAGGCGAAATTGTAGGCATTTTGATTGCGCATCTGCTCAAGAACTTTGGTAAACATTGGAGCATTAGTTTTTGGAGATATTTGCATTTGCATTTGAAATTTTTGAATTAATTTTGAATTATCTGCCCTTTGCTATTGGGCCTACAGCCTAGGGATTTTAAAGCGCGATATGTACCCCTCGGTGGGCATCTGGGTGAATTTTTTCAAGGCATTCTGTCCAGCGGTGCTCTCTGTAGGTCTGGTACAAAATACGGCGGATGAATAAATAATAATAATAATAAAAACATTAACGATTACAATAGGTCTCCTGCCTAAAGGCAAAGAGGCAAAGGTCTCCTGCCTAATTAAAATCGTTATTTTTGAGTTTTCGGGGTTTTGACCCCGGAACTTGATAGTATGTCGAAAAATGCTTTGTAATGGTCAAGGTCACCAAGGTCACGGGGGGTCAAAGGTCATTTGACCGGTCCGTCACAAGACAAAAACAAGTTTTTGGCGAGCTAAGACGCCGTTGTTATTACCTCTAGGGTGAAAGGAATTAGTGTTTCTGCTTTGCCCAGACCCGATGTATCATATGCGCAGGTCAGATTTGGTGACAAATATGTCCGCCGTCTGTCCGCATGTCTGTCCGCCAAAATACTGTATAGCCATTTTCTCCGGAACTATTAAACATACAGAGTTGAGATTTTGCACACAGCATCCCATTCAACTGTGTCTAATGATGCTGTAAAAATCAAGTCATTTGAATTTCAACTTCTGTTCCCCATGGCAACCTGAAAATGAAAAACTTCAATCCAAGATGGCGGCCAAACGGCTAGAGGTATCGATCTGGGACTACCAGGCAAAAATGATCGGCATCTCATGACCAAGTCACATACCAAATATGGAAGCGATTGGGACAATAGTGAGTGGAGTTATATGCTGTTTTATGCCGTTTTGGACACATAATGCATTTGTGCAATTTTCAATGCCATATGGCCGCCAAACAATCAAACTTTTGATATGCATGTAAGAACACGAAATGTTAAGCATCGTATGTTGATGCATACTGCCAAGTTTTACTGCCTTCTGTGCAGAATCTGACCAGCTATGCTGTTTATAATGTAGTATCATCAGAATCTGACGAAATCCAATATGGCCGCCAAACAATTCACATTTTGACATGCACCCAAGAACAAAAATGTTCAACATACCAAGTTACTACGTACTGCCAGATTCTAGCTGCATAGTTGAAATAGTAATGACGCTGCGATTTTTGAAAATACATTTTAGTACAAAATAAACAACAGAAGCAAACATCTAGATATCCGTAACTAATAAAGATATCGCAACGCATAACCTATGAGTTGTACATATTTGAGGTATATTATGTATATCTGCACATTTACAGCGTTCTGCAGTTCATACATTCAGAGTTATGGATTGCGAAAAATGCCTACCCCACAAAATCTGCAATTTCCGATAAACATCTTCAATCCAATATGGCCGCCGCATCACGTGACTTTGACATAGGACCAAGAACAGAAAATGTTCAACAACCAAAAGGCCACTTCAGAACAAGCGTTTAAACTGTTGTATGTGCTAAGTTTGGTTTGGCACAAAATGGCAAAGAAGCCCGTGAAAGTTTTTGAAGACAAGTTTTTGCCAGAAGTAGCGTCCAATATGGCGGCCATCAGCATAAAGATATAGCCACATTTGACGATGCTGTGTAGAAACATGCATAGACACAAAGTATGCAAAGTTTGAAAGCCGTAGCCCTTGTAGTTTCAGTGCAGCACATTTTGGGAGGTAAGCATATTGAACTAGACACTGTGTCTATTTCATCATTCATCAATTTGAAAATATCAGTCCTCAAAGCAAAAGAATGGCTTGACTACCCTAGGAAATAGATTTCATTTGGAGAGACTGAAATACAGCTGTGGAAATCATATGAATGGACCACCAATGGGGACACCAGGTGTTTGAAAAAACTGTAAGCATGTCCTGCCCCGATATAGCACTTGCTAGACACCATATTTGTTTCAGAAAGGTGAATATTGAAGGTCTAGCCCCACACAGAAGTACTCCGGCCATACCACAGTGGCCCATAAACAAACAAGATAATAGAGAGAGCGAGAAACAGAAAATCGTGAAGCCCAGAGATACGGCTGCTTACACCAAAGGAAAAATAATTTGGAGTGAGATCTGTTTTACAACAGTTTAAATGTATTGAATCAATCGTTTTCTTTCTGGGAAATGTCTGTCAAACAAATTAATTGTTGCCTGGAAAACTTCCTCAACTCGATCTATTTACTTCCTCAACTAGATCTATTTACACGACTTTACAATGAAGTTGTCCGGAGTGAAACAGGGAAAACCCGCCCCTTAAATATAGAATGATATGCGTTACGAGAACTATTTATAGCCGTATATGAACAAGCTAAGCGTTGTATTTCATCACTTTCAGAGTCTCCCTGGACAGAAGAACACCCTCGCACTCTCATTTCCGATGCGACGTTTTCACAAGGTAGGATAATTCTATATTATCGACATTGTCTTGTCAAAAAGGGCAAGATATTATTATGGATAACTTCTGTATTCTATTTTTCATCAACAACGTTCTGTTTTCATAATACTGATGTGGACTCGATTATTGTCACTGTTTTGTTTGTTTGTTTGTTTGTTTGTTTGTTGTTTGAGGGGCGGTGGGGTAGCCTAATGGTTAAAGCGTTGGCTCATCACGCCGAAGACCCGGGTTCGAATCCCCACATGGGCACAATGTGTGAAGCCCATTTCTGGTGTCCCCGCCGTGATGTTGCTGGAATATTGCTAAAAGCGGCGTAAAACCAAACTCAGTCAGTAAGTCAGTTGTTTGTTGTTTAACATTTCACTAACATTAATACTCCATATATATGACGGTGTCTGTGAATAATTGAGCCTTGGCCAGTCAACCAGCCTGACCACCCGATCTCGTCAGTCGCCTCTTATGACAAGCAGGGGTGGTGGGATAGCCTAGTGGTTAAAGCGTTGGCTCGTCACGCCGAAGACCCGGGTTCGAATCCCCACATGGGTACAATGTGTGAAGCCCATTTCTGGTGTCCCCCGCCGTGATGTTGCTGGAATATTGCTAAAAGCGGCGTAAAACCAAACTCAGTCGTCAGTCAGTCTTATGATAAGCATTGTAACCCATGTGTAGTCCTATAGTACACGGTTTATGTGTGTTAAACAAATAGTTTATTTCATTGTCTTTATCGTCTTTATCGCTTTTACAGCACAACAATAAAGAAGTTGTTCATCCATATATTGTTATCCTCCCTTTAATGTTACATACGCCCCAAATTCCAATAAAACAGTTTATTATCTTGTCAAATTATTCTTGTGGGTACAGTTGTATGTCCCTGTGGTTGTACCGATGTACAACACGACCGATGGCTATCATTTTGTACAACCATAGTTACTGCTCGCCTTGTTTCAGGTCAGTGATATCGACTGGCCTCACAATAGAGAGGACAAAATTGAGTTGACGGTTAGGTTACATTTTGACAGGATCGGATTTAAGTACAGCGAAAACTAAATACATAAGTGGATTATATAACCATAACATAAGTGTTGATTTTGTGAAACAGATCGGCTGACCTTGGAGACAGTATACAGCTTAAGTCTCACCTTCCATACCGCAAATATACACACGTTGGAGTGAGTGAGTTTATGTTTACGCCGCACTCAGCGGCGGTCTGTAAACAATCGAGTCTGGACCAGACAATCCAGTGATCAACAGCATGAACACACGTTGGAAAATATTATAGAAATTACTGAGTGCGGGATTAAAAAACAATTACACAATCCTAAAAATAAAATATGATCACGGATGTTGGGTTATCGGCTTTTCCCGGAGTTGAGCCGAGGGCGCTGTGAAACGCTACAATGAGATTCAGTGAAGTGTGACAGTTTCCACACATGCTGGAGTCGAATCACAAATGAAGCCACGCCTAATGGATAGTCCATCAGCATCGTACAGATACTCTTTACAGTTGCAGTGTATCGGAATCTGACAGTTGCTGTTTAACAGTATCATACAATTGCTGTTTATTAATATCATACATTTGCTTTATCGGTATCATACAATTGATTTTTTTTCTCGGCACCATACATTTGCATTTTATCGGTATCATACAATTGATGTTTATCGGCTCCATACATTTGCTGTTTATGGGAATCATATATTTGCTGTTTATCGGTATCATACAATTGATGCTTAACGGCACCAATACATTGGCTGATGAACGGCACCGTACATTTGCTGTTTATCGGTATCATACAATTGCTGTTTATTGGTATCATAGTTTGCTTTTTATTGGTATCATACAATTGCTGTTTATCGGCACCATACATTTGCTGTTTATCGGCTCCATACATTTGCTGTTTATTGGCACCATACATTTGATGTTTAACGGCACCATACATATGCTGTTTATCGGCACCATACAATTGATGTTTAACGGCACCATACATTTGCAGTTTATTGGCACCATACATTTGATGTTTATCGGCACCATACATTTGCTGTTTATCCGCACCATACATTTGCTGTTTATCGGCACCATACAATTGATGTTTAACGGCACCATACATTCGCTGTTTATCGGCACCATACAATTGATGTTTAACGGCACCATACATTTGCTGTTTATCGGCACCATACAATTGATGTTTAACGGCACCATACATTCGCTGATGGAGGGCACCGTACATTCGCTGTTGATCGGTATCATACGTTTCCTGTTTTTCTTACACACCCGTGGGTGAGAAACCCATGTGAGAAAACTGTTATCCCACATATGTGTGAGATCGATTTCTAATCCCGTGATTGGCTAATCCATGGTGATGACCTGTTTTATGACGGTACTATTTTGCTGATTAATCGGTATTCATAAGTTTCTCGTTTCAATCGGTATGCCAAACATCTGTATTCGCCTGTATTTGTGCGATCTTGGTATATGCTTATAGTATTTGCATTTATGAAATAAATCGAACTTAATTTAGATAGTAACATGTACATATTTTGCTTTGTCGTCTGCTACCGTAGTTGCTGCAGATTATGCATAGTCACGACTTCAAAATGGCTTCAGCAATAAGTAACATATGTGTAAACGATTACGAAAAGATCGATGGTAACGACAAAGGGCGTGTTAACTGCGGCTTTCCTTTGAACATATTTACAACATTAGTTTATACGGAGATGCGACACGTTTCAAGGTATCGCCTTACGAAATTACCTGACACGGTAACGTCAGTGCCATTTACCTACTGACTTAATTGATGAACTGATGAAGGATGAATTTTTTACGGATGAACTTAGTGATTGTAACAATACGGATCGATCCCCAAGGCGTTTGCAAGGGTTCATGATTGTAACAACAACATTTCGAAACAACTCGTTGTAAGGTAAATGGTATCTGACAGACACTCGTTTAGTAATCTCTATATCAGTGTCATACATTTGCTTTTTATCGGTGTCATACATTTGCTGTTTATGGGAATCATACATTTGCTGTTTATCGGTGTCATACAATTGATGTTTAACGACACCATACATTCACTCTTTATTGGTATCGTACAATTGCTGTTTGTCAGTATCATGCAATTGACGTTTATCGGTATCATACAATTGATGTTTAACGGCACCAATACATTCGCTGATGAACGGCACCATACATTCGTTGATGAACGGCACCATACATTTGCTGTTTATCGGTATCATACAATCGCTGTTTATCGGCACCGTACATTTGCTGTTCATCGGCAACATACACATTATTGAGGTCAGGAAATATACTGAAACAAATCATACGATATTTAGGATACTACAGGATATATGCAATGTTTTAAAAAGGAAATTTCATGGAAACTTAACACAATAAACGTATGTTATCTTGTTCTTTCAGGACGTGACTATTTGAGGAGGAAACACCGCGACAGTCATGGCGAGTACTGGCGACTACAGGGGAACTATTGCCATTCACATACATAGCGATGCCACAAATATTAACGCGGCAGGAATTGTCTACGGGGGTGTAGGCCACAGGACAGAAAATGAGATAATAATTAGAAAAGAAGTTGCTCCCAGGGTTGGGAGTTTACAAGGCACTGGATATATAACTACGGGCGGATCAGGCAGTGCCCAAAGTATTACAAATGAAACGAGGTCTCAAGTAATCAGTGCACAAAGTATTGAAAGTGAAACGAGGTCTCAAGTAAGGAGTGCACAAAGTATTGAAAGTGGAACGACGTCTCAAGTAATCAGTGCACAAGGAACTGAAAGTGAAACGAGGTCTCAAGTAAGGAGTGCACAAGGTATTGAAAGTAAAACGAGGTATCAAGTAAGGAGTGCACAAAGTATTGAAAGTGAAACAAGGTCTCAAGTAAGGAGTGCACAATGTCTAACAAGAGAGACTTCTTCAGAAGCAGGATGTGCACATGATGATGTGCAAACGTCTTGGGTGGAAAGTGAGCTAAAGATTGAACCAGAAACCGCTAAATTAGGAACTGTAGAAGGCGGCGGGCAGGAACCTCCTGCTAGAGAAGAAACTGGACTCCCCTCAAGGACTGCCGCTGCTGCTGGAGAAGAGACTGGACTCCCCTCGAGGACTGCCGCTGCTGCTGGAGAAGAGAATGGACTCCCCTCGAGGACTGCCGCTGCTGCTGGAGAAGAGACTGGACTCCCCTCGAGGACTGCCGCTGCTGCTGGAGAAGAGACTGGACTCCCCTCGAGGACTGCCGCTGCTGCTGGAGAAGAGACTGGACTCCCCTCGAGGACTGCCGCTGCTGCTGGAGAAGAGAATGGACTCCCCTCGAGGACTGCCGCTGCTGCTGGAGAAGGGAGAGGATGCGGACATGATATTCTACATGTCAAAGTTAGAGGAACAGAGGCTCTACATTGTCCAAGTACAGAAGGATGTAGGACGCAAACCAGAGGTGCAGTAGGATATCAGCAAGGTAATTAACACTATTTTCGGCTGCATAAATAGGGTGCATGTTTCTTGAGCACAGTTTTACAAATGTGAGGAGGTAAGTTACTATATAGACTCTTGTTTTTCATATTTTCTTGAAACATAATAGTAACAAACACAAGTGGGTACACGTTGCAGCTCTTTAACGCAATGCCGGTCGTAAAATACATCTTATAATGCTTCGTAAACCTTTACTGGAAAAACCTTTTACAAAAAGTCACACCTTGACAGCACCTTGCATTGCTGGTCTGCTTTCAATCAAATTTTCGCTAACCATAACGTTTGATCAAACTATAGCATGTGACAATGTAATGGGACCTGGGGATGGTGAGGTAACCTAATGGTTAACGCGTTCGCTCGTCACGCCGAATGTCCGGGTTTCATTCCCCACATTGATACAATCTGTGAAGCCAATTTCTGGTGTCCCCGGCAATGATTTTACAGGAATAATGTTAAAAGCGGAATAATTACCCATCTCACTGTTATCGACCATGAGACGTTTGTGTGTTTCTAATAATAATATTTTTCTTTATCTTTGACCATTTTGATAATATTTAACAGGATCGACAGGTATATTTATCACCACGAGTACACACAATAAATACAATGATTTAAAGAATCTCCACCGCGTCTTTCCATATTGCATACGTCAACGCGAGTCGATGAGAGCGTGTGCAAAAGGTATTAAAATGGAAACGAGTCCTCAAGTAAGGGGTGAGGAATGTGTTGTAAGCGAAACGAGTACTCCCGTTTCAAATGTTGATATTTTTGAAATCAAGAGACACAAGGATTTATCTTACCTTTATGTAAAATATTTCATTGGTCAATGACGCTTTACCACATTTCCGTGTCACCCCTCCAAGGAGGGTGACAACTGGAAAAAATATCACCCGCTGCGACGGTAACCGCGAAGCTCTCCGCCGAGAAGCTGTATCGCTAACAACCGTGTGACGTCATAATATGACGTATGCAGTGCACGGAGTTCGAAAACCGTTCGATAAGCTGTTTTTTAGTTCGCTGTCTACACATTTATTTTACCGACTTTCCCTTCTTTATTTAAACTATTTTATACATTGAATCGTTTGGAGACACAACTAAAACATAATTAACCATTTTTGTAACATCTTTTAGCTTTTAAGAATATGTTTCACTGGTTTTAAAAATACAGTCGAGCGGCAGACGCCATTTTGTTTACATGTCATATAGTCGGTAGCGAGCTTATCAATCTTCAAAACAAAATAAAAGATATTTTGTAAATTCAACATGGCGGTAAGGTAAATATGTTGTAGACATCTCCCTCGGGTAGTACGGTCTGATGTACCCCTTTTTGTAGCAAAGTTATTCCTCGCCAACCGGCTCGAGTGACACGTGACACTGCTGCAAAGAGGCATACATCAGACCGTACTACCCTCGAGAGAAGCATACACATGTAGATTATCTTCCAGAATAGTTTTTCAAATGCTTTTACAATTTCTAAACAGCGATAACCAATGTCTCGAAAACACAAGATATACAACTAAACAGCTGATTATTGACGTCATATGATAGTGACGCCATACGACGACTTCACAGTGGTCTACAAAGAGTGAAATTGCACACATAACAAAAGATGGAAGCAAATATTTGATGATAAGTACACATTGTATTTATTTGTGTTTCGCACTGAACGCCTCGAGCCTCATTTTAGGTCATAAATCTGACACCAAATCAGTATTATACTTGATTAACCATGGAAGAGTTTCCCGCAAGCCTAAATATATGACATAAATTCGACCTCGTTGTATCACGGCATTCATCGTATCGCGGCACGGCAAACCGAAACATGAGTCTCATTAACCACTTCAGACAATGACCTACTTTTCAGCCGATCCCACCGCTTCCGTGGTGTAGTGGCTAGAGCGTCCGTCCGGAGTGCGGAAGGTCGCGCGGGTTCGATCCCCGACTGCGTCATACCAAAAGACGTTAAAATATGGTACTTGTTGATCCCTGCCTGGCGCTCGGCATTAATGGGTACATCAAGGACTGGCCGGCTCGGAGTCAGTATAATGTGTCTGAGTGGCGTATTCATGCTTCACTGCGGCATGGTATCACAGTGGGCTAGCACTATAACACCAGCTTCAGTCTGGGCTAGTAAAGCAACCGCACATACACATACACACTCATGTACGTCGTCATATGAGCGAAATATTCTCACCGCTCTTAAAAGGTGATTTATTTCATTGGAGTGTCATGTCAAAGGTTAAGGATGGTTTTACTAATCGTAGAAATATTTAACTAGTCGTCTTTGCAGTAACTTCTGGAACATTTTGAAACTGCGATGGCATTACCGCCATTGGATCTATCATGAATCAAAACTTACTTCGTCAAGAGCAATCCTGCGACTACTGTAAGGTCATTTGCACATTTTCCGACCTAAAACTATAAGGGGAAGTGACGTATCGTGCAACTTGACCCTGCAAACGACAGCAATTGTATGGCGTTTTAAGGCGGCAAAGAAATATTTTCTTACGTTATTGTTACCTTGTATAAAAATGAATACAAGTTTCAGATGTTTTGGTTAAAAACATGATGATATGACCAATCACAATGAATTTCATAAATGATTTTTAATATTAAAACTATTTACATTCGTTCCTTGTCGTAAGTAAACGTTTGACAGTGCCATTTGCTTGTACCGCGTGCCATAGTAAGAAAATAGTTCTCTCGATGGAGTTCTCTCCCTTGGCAAACATTAACCGGCTTCGTTCGTCTAATGGCTCTCGCTGAAAAACTATCAAAGTTAAAATAATATGTTTTTCACAAAAATGTTGATTAAATGTCACGTTAATCAGATTTCATAATAAAAAGGGCCTAATAAGTTGACAATTTCATTTCCGATTACGATATATCAAGTGCCGTGATACAATGAGGTCACAGGCTATATATACTCGAGTCTGGACCAGACAATCCAGTGATTTAAGTTATGAGTTTCCATATACGCAACTGACGTGCATCAACCATTTCCGCCAGACTTACGATCTGGTACCGTTAGTTGCCTTATTACGACAAGCATGGGTTGCTAACGACTAAAGTTCACCCTGATCTTTACGGGTTGGCGCTCGAAAATGATACTATTAATCGCATTTTACCAGTAATTGTTTCTGTTTCAGCGATGAAGAACTCGGACAAACGTCAAAAAGACAATGATTTCCACAGAGCATGCAAACTGGGAGATTTGGACCGAGTTGTTCGAATTTTGTCAGAAGATCTGGACAACCTCAACCGGAAGGACAGTCACGGAAGAACAGGTCTAATGGTGGCTGCCTACCAAGGACATAGAGATGTGGTGGAGCTTCTCGTGACCAAAGGCGCAGATCTGACGTCAGTGGACAAAGGTGGCGACACAGTTCTTCACGCAGCTTGTCGTGCAGGCGACATAAGTATCGTCAAGTTTGTCCTCTCCAAGGATGAGTTGGACGTCAACAGTTCCGATAAATCAGGGATGACACCGGCGATGTCTGCAGCACGCTGGGGGTATTTGGATGTCGTGAAGCTGCTCCTCCGTAGGGGGGCAAAGATGCAATTAGTTGATGATGAGGGTGACACTATTCTGCATTACGCCTGTCGTGGAGGTCACGAGGACGTCGTTGAATGCATCGTCTCATCAGACGCTGCTCTTCGTCAAAGCCAAGAACAGGAATGGAAAGACAGCAGTAAAGGTTGCCAAAGAAGAAGGTCATCATGTCCTACGTGAACGTCTCAAGTCTGTCGACTCTGGATGTTACCTTATGTGAGTGTTTGTGCATCCGTGTTGTTGATGATGACGATGCTGGTTTAATGCCGCACTCAGCAATATTCCAGCTATATGGAGGCGGTCTGTAAATAATTGAGTCTGGACCAGACAATCCAGTAATCAACAGCATGAGAATCGATCTACGAACCGGGATACGATGGCATGTGTCAACCAAGTCAGCGAGCCTGACCACCCGATCCCGTTAGTCGCCTCTTACGACAAGCATGGGTTGCTGAAGACCAAATCTTCACGGGGTTTTGTGGCTGTGACATGACTTCCTCATACATATGGTAACAGATGGAACTGTACACAATGGATGCGCGTCCATTCCTCATCATCCGGGTGATTCGCTGTGCAGTTGTGTCTCTTTGGCTCAATCCAGCTAGGGTCCATGCAGGTAGCAAACGTACTGTAAGTCCCCATGGTCCCTAGTATGGTGATCTACCTTCTGTTGTTGGCGATCTCTAGCCTGTTTTTATATTGTATTGTCCCAATAGTGCTATTAGTTTTAAACTTTCCACGCTATTTTTGATTCAAATTGTGATATTCTAGTTGTTTTACTGTCCTCGTTTTTATAATATACATATATTCCACTTCAAAATCAAATATGTTCTCGTCACGATATGGCTGCAAAATTGCCGATGTGACGTTAAATAATAACTCACTCACTCACTCTTTGGCTCACCAGAGTCCTGTGACTGTTGGTTCTAATAACTGTTTTTCACCAACATAACAGTACATGTGAAAGTCTTTCGTCACACCGTGGTACGACTGGTATACTCTCAAAGCGGCGTAAAACAAAATTCACTCATTCATCATCATCGACCATATCCAACCGCCTCCGTGGTGTAGTGGTTAGAGCGTTCGCTCGGAGAGCGGAAGGTCGCGGGTTCGATCCCCGACCGCGTCATACCAAAAGACGTTAAAGTATGGTACTTGTTGGTCCCGGCCTGGCGCTCGGCAGTAATGGGTACAATAAGGACTGGTCGGCTCGGAGTCAGTATAATGTGTCTGAGTGGGGTATTCATGCTTCACTGCGGCGCGGTATCACAGTGGGCTAGCACTATAAAACCAGCTTCAGTCTGGGCTAGTACAAGCAGCCGCACATACACATACACACGCATGCACGTCGTCATATGAGCGAAATATTCTCAAGCACGACGTTAAACCCAATTTCACCTCACCTCATTGACCACCCAGTGTATTATAAAAGTACCCAATCCAGTTTCATTAATAACCATCACGCAATTGCCATCATACATTCGTTTTGGAAGTGACGTCACAGGCGCTATTGCTCCTGTCCCCGTGGAACGTCACTGGGTTTCAACTTGTTCCATTGTGCTATCTGAAACAAAGAAAGCCAAAGAAAAAAGAAATCTGTCGTAGCGTTTCACGTAGCCATATAAAAACACTTTATGTAACTTTACCAAAAATTGATACGATTTTATTCATTTCTGTACGTGTAATCGAGAATTAAACCGTGTAACGTTTTTTCTGTGTTTCCCATTTCCACCCCGCCCTGAATGTTCATTCCTACAGAAAATACCCGTGAAGATCCGGGTTAGAATATTGATCTTCAGTAACCCATGCTTGTCGTAAGAGGCGACAAACGGGATCGGGTGGTCAGGCTCGCTGACTTGGTTGACACATGTCATCGGTTCCCCATTGCGCAGATCGATGCTCATGTTGTTGATCACTGGATTGTCTGGTCCAGAATCGATTATTAACGACTGGTATACTCTCAAAGCGGCGTAAAATAAAATTCACTCATTCATCATCATCGACCATATCCAACCGCCTCCGTGGTGTAGTGGTTAGAGCGTTCGCCCGGAGAGCGGAAGGTAGCGGGTTCGATCCCCGACCGCGTCATACCAAAAAAAGTTAAAATATGGTACTTGTTGGTCCCTGCCTGGCGCTCGGCATTAATGGGTACAATAAGGACTGGTCGGCTCGGAGTCAGTATAATGTGTCTGAGTGGGGTATTCATGCTTCACTGCGGCATGATATCTCAGTGGGCTAGCACTATAAAACCAGCTTAAGTCTGGGCTAGTACAAGCAGACGCCCATACACATACACACGCATGCACGTCGTCATATGAGCGAAATATTCTCAAGCACGACGTTAAACCCAATTTCACTTCACCTCACACACTGAGGTTACAAAGGAAACGTAATTTCCAACTTGTAGGAAATGTTGTAAGTGTAACTAACAATTCCTCTAAGTTGAAGGGGCGGCGGGGTAGCCTAGTGGTTAAAGGGTTCGCTCGTCACGCCGAAGAATCGGGTTCGATTCCCCACATGGGTACAATGTGTGCATCCCGCTTCTAGTGTCCCCCGCCGCGATGTTGCTGGAATATTGCTAAAAGCGGCGTAAAACTAAACTCACTCACTCATTGTCACATGTCCCGACAAAGGGATATCGGGCACACCAGGGTTCGCACGTGCTTGAAAAAACCTGAAATTTGAACAGTTTACCCCCAAAAGGCCCTTAATTCCTTTTTGCGTTGTAAAAAGCCCTAAGAGCCTGTGATTTTCCATGAAAGGCGCTATATTTAGCAAAGCATGCCAAGTTATGATTCTCAGTAAACTAAAACCTAAAACTGCCTTGCCAGACAGTGGGTGTTAAGTACTCTCCGTCACGAAGCCAATCTTTTCCAGTGCAGCGATGTAGCTAAGAGTTATGTCCTCTGATGGTCAATTCCCTATTTGACCAACTTCGTGTGTATTTATTTATTTACGTGTTTATGTGTTTCAATGGTTGAATTTACCTTGAAAAGATTCCTTAAATTTGATGGCTGATAATTTGTAGGAACCCTTCACAGAGATACTTCATGTTTGCCTCGTGACCGGAGAATTACTGGAAATTACTTTTATCTATTTTGATCAACGTGAACTAATAAGCTGACTGTTTTATGCAGTCTGTTTCTCGCGATTAATGTCTTCCAGCTTCCTGATGTATTATAAGACAGCGACAACACCGACCCAAATGCATTTCAGTGATGCATTTTTATCCAATAATAGTACGCCATCAGTTTGATAAATGGAATGTTATAAATGTGGCTAAACATTCTGCTCATAAACACACTCATTCAGTTTTTAAAAATCTTTCTATTCATTCATTACCGTGACAAAAATAAGAAAGACAAACACTGACGTACTCATTTATCAAAAGCGTTAAACTCTTCTCTTTTTTTAGTCCACAAGTGTACATTAAATAGGCTCGATATGATCCACTGAAATCTGTTAAATGTGGCTGTTTACATCATTACAATCTATAAAAATACACATGTTAAATTAGAAATGTACCAAACAAATTGCATATTCGTTGAGGTAAGGGTCGGTGGGGTATCCTAGTGGCTAAAGCGTTCGCTCGTCACGCCTAAGACCCGGGTTCGATTCCCCACTTGGGTACAATGTGTGAAGCCCATTTCTGGTGTCCCCCGCTGGAAATATTGCCGGAATATTGCTAAAAGCGGCGTAAAATTATACTCACTCACAATGAACAGATAATTAGCAAGTGTATCTGTTGAACATAAATAATTTACTGGATTTCATCTTCTTTTAAAAGAAGGGTACGGGTTAAAGTTGATCTTCAGCAACCCATGCTTGTCGTAAGAGGCGACTAACGGGATCGGGTGGTCAGGCTCGCTGACTTGGTTCATCGGTTCCCAGTTGCTTAGATCGATGCTCATGATCACTGGATTGTCTGGTTCAGACTCGATTATTTACAGACGGCCGCCATATAGCTGGAAAATTGCTGAGTGTGGCGTAAAACTAAACACACTCACTCACTCTTTTGAAAGAATAAAAGAAGATGAAATCCAGAAAATTCTTTATGTTCATCAAATAGCATCTTCTAAAATAGCAATCAATCATCTAGGTGTATCTGTAGCATCGACTATGTTTATCATTCATCCTTACCAAGTCACGTGCAACACGTGTCCAAACGGTGACCACTAACTGAGCAGGTTGTTTAGTTCATGCTGAACTTCACCCGTAAACATCGTTACCATCTTTACTTTCATCATTTATTATATCAATCTGTCAGACACAGAGACTAAAGTTCACAATAACAACCTTATCGCCAGATAATAGGATTATCTGAAGGAGAAAGAAATAGAATATGTGTATATATAAAAAAAATTACACGAGCAAGTGTGTCATACGACCTATGGGCCGTGGGGTAGCCTAGTGGTAAAGCGTCCGATCGTCCCGCCGAGGACCCGGGTTCGATTCCCCATATGGGTACAATGTGTGAAGTCGATTTCTGGTGTCCCCGCTGTGGTGGGCGAGCAGGCTAAGGCGCCAGGCTGGTGATCCAGCGGGCATGAGGTGCCAGGATCGAGCCCACCTGTGACCGGGTGTAAAAACCTTGGAGTCAACTTTGTGTACTGACTCTTTCAGTGTTGTCACAACCTCTAGTGTACAGTACACAACCCTCTGCACTTAAAAGAACCCACGGATCCGTTGGTATATGACCAGATGGTGGCCACATGAATACGTGCAAACACATAGTTGCGGGTACAGCAACGTGCAATAAACTTGGACAAAGTACTGTGACTATGTGTCCCAGTCCACCCAGCTGTGAATGGGTACCTCGTAAGGATGGGAAAGCCGCAATAGCTCGGTGCGCCTTGTGGCAGCAAGAGTTGTATGATCCCCAGGGAGCTGAGATAAGATGTACCGTTGAGATCGACATCCAAAGATCAAGGGGAAAATACCAGCGCCTTGAACATGCACTAGTGCGTGGATATGTGCGCTATATAAATATCCATAAATAATAAAAATAAAATATTGCTGGAATTTTGCTAAAAGCGGCGTGAAACCTCACTCACTCATACAACTTATAGGAAAGGAGTGTGAAATTTTGTATTGCCCGAGCAAGAGAACATATCACTGTTGCCTAGCAACCATTGTTTCTGTATTTCGTCACATACGTATATGGTCGACATCACTCTGGGACTGACTATTATATGATGTAAGCGGCTGAGTTAGGTTAGACTTTGCGCTGGCGATGAGATTGCTGACTCTAAGCGTGTTCGTTCGAATCTCGGATGGGACTCAAGCCAACAAATGTACTAGAATTTGTACTTTACTGACTGACTGA